AAAAAAAAAAAAAAAAAGAAACTTGATTCTCGTCACAAGCATCATGATATTTTTATTAGTGTTTATTTTCATAGACAGATGGAAATGTTGCATTGCTCAGGCTGCAGGTTTAGAGGATGGATAGCAGTGGGCGAGACAGATTTGGTAAAACAGTCTCCACTTCATCCTCATGTTCAGATTCATGATGTCGGTAAGTGATCTCAGTTCCAGCCATGCCAACATTCAGAACAGAGTTGAGTCTGCAAGCTGGACATTGTGTGTGGCCCAGCAGAAAGAGGAGTACCACATGAGGAATGAGAAGGCACAGTGTTAGTCAGACGCCAGCCAGCCACGTGCCTGGGAGAGTCACCGACTCTGGGAGCCTCATCCCTCATCTGACAGAATTGCTGATGCCTGGGCTGAGGCCATAATCAGAGGCCAGGCAGCTGCCAGAGCTGGGCCCTAGAGAATGACGGTCTGGTCCTCAGGTTTGTTCGGAAACTCATCAGTTTTCCAAAGAGCCCACCAGAGATGGATTTCTCCACCCGAGAATCCCAGTGCATTAATTGGCAGGGGAACAGCCAGCACTGGCCACTTGCATGGGGTATACCCTTCCTGGGGCAAGGGCTGCTAGGGAGCCCAGAACAGAACTTAGCAAGAGGAGAACTAGAAAAAGGAAACTGACTTTCTGGGGCTAAGCTGGGAGCATTTGTGTGACCCTCTTCCCTGGACTGTCCTAGACAAATCTCACCTGCTCCTGGCCCACCCTTGGCTCATCAGCTTTTTGACAATGTGAAGACCACTCCACCCTTATCCACAACACCTTTCTGTTGCCTTGTCCTTACATGGCCTTTTTTTTTTTTGAGATGGAGTTTTGCTCTTGTTGCCCTGGCTAGAGTGCAGTGGGGCGATCTCGGCTCAACACAACCTCCGCCTCCCAGGTTCAAAGGGATTCTCCTGCCTTAGCCTCCTGACTAGCTGAGATTACAGACGTGTGCCACCACGCCCAGCTAATTTTGTATTTTTAGTAGAGACAAAGTTTCTACATGTTGGTCAGGCTGGTCTCAAACTCTCAACCTTAGGTGGTCCGCCCACCTTGGTCTCTCAAAGTGCTGGGATTATAGGCATGAGCCACCATGCCCTGCCCCATGGTCTTGCTCATAATGGGATACCATTTTTTCCTAAGACTGTAGCTACTTTTATATAAATCACACTTCTTGGTGGCTACTTCTTGCTGACATATAGAAGGCACCTTATTCTTTAAAATATATTAAAAACAATTCCCGCATTTATTAGGTTCTACTATATTGCCAAGCAAATATTTGTGCCAAATGCTTCACATATATGATTTAATCTTTATTATTAAATGTGACATATTTAATCTTTAGAACAACGCTGCAAGTTGGGTAGCATCATCCCGTTTTACAGAGGAGGAACTCTGACTCAGAGAGGTTAAGCAACTTGCCCATGACCACACAGCTGCTCGGGGAACCTGGTTGATTCATCTGGTTCTGAAGCCTGGGCTCTACCCACTACTTTGTAGCTTTGCTTACAGTGAGCCCCCTCTACTGCATAATTCTTCCATTTCAGAGTGATGCATCCTGCCCTTGACTGTGTATCCTGACGTCTGCATTACCCACAGAATCCCCTTTATCTACCTCTCAGTAGATAAACAGGGAGGGCCACAGAGCATTGCCCCAGCATCTTGATGATGGAAAAGGCTCTAAGGGCCATTTCACCTCATTTCCTAATCTTACAGATGAGGAAACTGAGGCTTCCTTACAGAGTGGCAGGGAGGATAAGTTTTGGAGTTACACATGTAACTCCGCTGAGTAGCTGTGTGACCTTGGTCAGGTCACTTAAGCTCTCTGGGACTCAGCTTTGTTATCTGTGGGAAGGGAGCATGCCTATCATTCTGTGTTGTATTTTCATGATGTAGTGAGATAACATAGGTAGAGCACCCAGCACAGCCCATGGCCCGTAGTAGGAGCACAGTCACCGCTGGTGACTGTTATTATTAAAGGGTAGACCAGAGAGGGTCATGCAGGCAGGAAGGATGTTCAGCATCCAGGTGTGGCAGAACCAGACCTGGAACACTCCATATTCCTTACTCCTAGGCAGATGCTGTTCTTATTATTCCATCCAGCCTTCCTATGGGTGAAATGGCAATGTATCAAATACACACAATGTAAAATGGAACAGTGTCAAGCCAGGGACCATTCCATGTCCCCATCCTGTCCTGGGACAAGGAGCAGTGGTTTTCAGGAATGTTATAGCCATTCAGACATTCAGGTCATGTCTTTTTCCTGGAGTAGGGATGGGGTAACATGTGACAGGGGACAGGGTCTCACCAAAGCAGGAAGCTGACCCAGAGAGGCTCAAGCTCGCGGGCTAGGGGAGGAGCGAGGAGTGGGTCAGAAGTAGAGAACCCAGCAGTTCCCGGGGTTCACAGTGATCGCCAAGGTCACTGGAGCTATTGAATAACTCTCCAAGCTGAGGCCACACAGGGGCCAGGAACAGAGGGAGGGTGATTAGCGAACCCCTGGACTGCAGGGGTCTTGACTCTTTAAGTCGCCTTCCCTCTGTGTCAAACTGTCAGTTTTACCAAAGACTCCAATGACCTCTTCCTCCACAAGCCCTTCACAAGTCCCACTTGGACCAGTGACAGGAAGTGTGTCATGCCTGGAACCGGCTGCACCCATCCCAAAGATGCTGGGACACTGGGCGGAGGCTCGGGCACTAGAGCCCTAGTCATCCCTCTCCCCTCTGTTTTGGACAGGACAGTGCCTTCCCAGGCTCCCTTCCTGACCAAGATCTTCCCTGATGCCCAGCCCCTTACCTTGGTAGGGAGGTAGAGTTGTTGACTGTTGTCCCTGTTGTCCCTTCTCCCCTCCGTCTGCCTCTACCCTGCCAGGGAAGCAGGACCGCCCTTAGACTCAGGCAAGAGGGGCCCTTCCTGCACCAGCACTTTAGAAGGCCCTTCTGGCCCTGCCCCGTCCATATTCCCCCTTGCAAGATGAAGACTCCATACAGTAAAAGGGACAGGTCCATCTAGATCCTGTGGCCTTTTTTCTAGACCACATTGTGAGTAGCCGAGCCCGTGAAACACTCTGTCATACGGCCCAGAGCCTGCCATCTGTCTAGGCAGTCCTCTTTTGGGGGTCCTTCCTCATGAGGACAGACACTGCTGACATGCAGTGCAGACCCTTGACCCAAAGGATGATCAACTGGTGGCTATTTGTGGGGGCACTGATGAGGTCAACCATGAGGGCCGGGGCATCTATACACATGTGCATGAGGGCCCTGGCAGTGTGGGATGGAGCTGGGCCAGGCTGGGCTGGGCTGGGGGCCTGCAGTGCGCTGCGGGCTTTCCCTGCCCAGCCTCACCACTTCAGCACAGTACCTAGAGAAGTCCAAGAACTCTGAATTAAAATACGGCATCCCAGGTGGTTGTGAAAACTGTTTTCGTCAAGGTGGAAACATAGAACATTTTATTTAACAGTGTAAACATACAATTTGTAAATTCTGACTATTTAGGCATACCGTATGTGGACTTCCATTTGTGATCTTGCATTCTGAGTATAGAAGGGGCCTCCCAGCCCAGCTGGAGAGGCTTTTCAGCATCCACATGTAGGGCTGGACCCAACCGGGCCCAGGCAGAGCCCCGTCTCATGCTTCCTCCTCTGGCCCCTTTGCTTTCCCAGACCGGACGTGGACCTACTCCTTCTCTGGAGCCTTCCTGTTCTCCATGGGCTTTCTTGTCGCAGTGCTCTGCTACCTGAGCTACAGATATGTCACCAAGCCACCTGCACCTCCCAACTCCCTGGTGAGCCGTCCTCCTGGGGCGGGAGAGAGAGGTCCAGGGGAGGGCCTGGGCTCTGAGGTCCCCGGTTCTCCCCAAAATGCAGAGATCCACAGACAAAGCAGGAGATGGGCCTGCTGTCTCCCTTCATGGAGCTCACAGTCCCACCTAAAGTCAACAGCCGTGTGGCCCAGCAGGTCTCAGGACGCAGTGAAGAGGGGTGGGTGATCAGGAAGAGTGGACATGGAATAGAAAACCCACATGGGTTGGAAGTGTCCAGCACCAGGAGGGTAGCGTGGGACTTCAGTGAGCAGCAAGGCAACGAGGGAGGAGTGGTGGGTGCCTGGAGAGCCGTGGCACTGATGCCCTGTCTAAACTGGCAGCAGGGCACCACCATGTGGGAACTCAGGCCCAGCACTGCCTGATCTTCATGTTTTTCAAGAGAAGTCAGAGTTTCTGATTATATTATGAAATCTCCAAATTTTCAAGTATTCAGAACTAATTTTTTTCACTTTTTTTTTGAGATGGAGTCTCACTCTGTCTGGAGTGCAGTGGTGTGATCGCAGCTCACCGCAACCTCTGCCTCCCGGTTCAAGCGATTCTTCTGCCTCAGCCTCCCATGTAGCTGGAATTACAAGCATGTGCCACCACACCCAGCTAATTTTTGTATTTTTAGTAGAGATGGGATTTCACTGTGTTGGCCAGGCTGGTCTCAAACTCCTGACCTCGGGTGATCTGCCCACCTGGGCCTCCCAAAGTGCTAAGATTACAGGCGTGAGCCACTGTGCCCAGCCATTTTAAACAGAAAATTTTTAAATGGCAAAACTCATTTTTAAATGGAAAGCCCTTTGTTACAGCTCTTTTAGAATTTGTCTAGCACGTGAAGACCAGAACCCCCCACCCAAAAATAAAATGGAAAGCCCTGCACCAGCCACACAAATCACATCAGCAGCCCCCACCTGATGGCAGTGTCATCTCTGCCAGAGCAGCCAGGCCCACGGCAGAGGCCATGAGTGAAGCCACCTGGGGCGCTCGGAGCCTGCTCTCGCCCATCCGCGGGACAGAAGAGCTCTGAGGGAGTTTTGCTCAACGTGCAAGTCCAGATGAAGCATATTCTGTCAAGCTCTCCTGACCTCTCCTGGCTCCTTCCTTTCCTACCCTGACCCTGTATTAGGCCCTCAGGGACCCGTGGGCCAGGCAACCATGCAGGCCACCACCTCCAGAGCATGCCCCAAGGCAACCCCAATCCCTGTTATCCATTCCCTGGATTATCTGCCTCCTGGAGAAACCAGAGCCTGGGTCTCTCTCCCTGAGATAACCCAGACTTTAGAACCAAAGAGCTGAGAGACCCTGTCCCTTTGCTGACACCTAGAGTCATCTTTGCGAAGCAGAGGGGATATGGGACAGATGCATCTTGAAAATGCCCCAGATGCCTCCCCATAGAGGACCTCACCCACCCACATCACCAGCAGGGAGCGTGGCACATACCCTAACTGAGGGGGGGCACTGTTGTTGTCCCTGCACAGAATGTCCAGCGAGTCCTGACTTTCCAGCCGCTGCGCTTCATCCAGGAGCACGTCCTGATCCCTGTCTTCGACCTCAGTGGCCCCAGCAGTCTGGCCCAGCCTGTCCAGTACTCCCAGATCAGGGTGTCTGGGCCCAGGGAGCCCGCAGGAGCTCCACAGCGGCACAGCCTGCCTGAGACCACCTACTTAGGACAGCCGGACATCATCGTCCAGCCCTCCAACATGCCACCTCCCCAGATCTTCTCCCCACTGCCCTATGCCCCAAACACTGCCCCTGAGGTTGGGCCTCCATCCTATGCACCTCAGGTGACCCCCGAAGCTCAACCCCTATTCTACACCCCACATACCATCTCTAAGGTCCAGCCTCCCTCCTATGCCCCTCAGGCCACTCCGGACAGCTGGCCTCCCTCCTATGGGGTATGCATGGAAGGTTCTGGCAAAGACTCCTCCGCTGTGACACTTTCTAGTCCTAAACAACTTAGGCCTAAAGATCAGCTGCAGAAAGAGGCACCAGCTGGAAGCTGCCTGCCAGGCCGCCTTTCTCTGCAGGAAGTGACCTCCCTGGCTGTGGAGGAATCCCAAGAAGCAAAATCATTGCACCAGCCCCTGGGGGTTTGCACAGACAGAACATCTGACCCAAATGTGCTACACAGTGGGGAGGAAGAGACACCACAGTACCTAAAGGGCCAGCTCCCCCTCCTCTCCTCAGTCCAGATCGAGGGACACCCCACGTCCCTCCCTTTGCATCCTCCTTCCCGCCCCTGTTCCCCCTCCGACCAGGGTCCAAGTCCCTGGGACCTGCTGGAGTCCCTTGTGTGTCCCAGGGATGAAGCCAAGAGCCCAGTCCCTGAGACTGCAGACCTGGAACAGCCCACAGAGCTGGATGCTCTTTTCAGAGGCCTGGCCCTCACCGTGCAGTGGGAACCCTAAGGGGAATGGGAAAGGCCTGGGGCTTCCTCCTTGTCCTTGCCCAGCGTCACATCTTTGGCTGTCAATCCCATGCCTAACCATGCTGCATACTTTGCGTCCCAGCCCCAAACGGGTACTCTTGAGAGAAGCAGAGGGCATGGCCTGCAGGGCCCCTGCCATGGGTGAGCCCCCCACTGGAGCAAAGCAGCCTGATAAGGACTGCAGCGGGGAAGCCCTGGGGAGCAGTCTATGTAGACAAATGTGTGCTGGCTGAGCCCTGCAGGGCCGAAATGACAGAGACCAAGGAGGAAATGCAGGAAAACCCCCGAGATCCAGGGCCCCACCTTCTAACATCCTGGATTCAGAGTTCTCAGGGAATCTGCCTCTCCTCTCCCTATTCCTGACCAGTTTCACAATCTAGCTTGACAGAGTGTGAGGCCCCTGCCTCTTCTGTGATTGCTCAAAGGTGAGAAGAGAGCCTGGAAAAGGACACCTCGCAGGAGGCTGGGCAGAACCAGAACAACCTGCACTTCTGCCAAGGCCAGAGCCAGCAGGACGGCAAGACTCTAGGGAGGGGTGCAGCCTGGGGCTCATTCCCAGCCAGGGCAGCTGCCAATGTTGCACTATTTCAGCTTCATTCCTCTGCTAGAAAGAGGCAAAATGAAGGTTCACCAGGGAGGGAGACACACAAGGCTTTTCTGCAGGCAGGAGTTTCAGTCCCTATCCTGATGATGGGGTTTAAAAGGAAGGTAAGGACTGCGTCCCCTGAACAGGTACACTAACACACTGTACTAACAGCACAGCTTTGGAAACTCTGCCTGGGTTCAGCCCATCTGGGCTCAAATTCCAGCCTCACCACTTACAAGCGGTGTGACGTCAAACAAATGAATCAATGCCCAGAGCCCTGGTTTCCTCATCTGTAACATGGGGATCATAACACCTACCTCACCGGGTTGTGGCGAAGATGAGATTAAGTCGTCGTTAAAGTGCTTAATAGTGCTGGTACATGGGCAGTGCCCAATAAATGGTAGCTATTTCCTGTTGTGATTTTTTTTAAACCACGTCACACAAGGAGTGACCCCCTCCCTCAATCTGGATTGGCTTCAGACACACCTGGCATTTTCTCATGGGCTTAAATGACCTGGATTTCCTCAGGACGGGCAAAGCCAGAGTGGTCTGGGGTGGGAAAGAGGAGAGACTGCAGGGCCTTCTAGAGACAGAGTCCAGAGACAAATTACATGGAACCTTCTCCCTGAGATTGTAGGCAGAAGCCATTGTGTGTGGCAGCAGTGCTCTCAGATGGCCTCTGTCCATCTGGCCTCCCTGACCCCCCACAGAGGCAGCACTGGGCACGCCGTCCCCCTCCCCAGGTAGGGAGAGTGCCCTGCGCTCTCTGCTCCCAGAGTGCTGCCTTCCCTCTGTATCATTGCATCTCAGACAACCCCTAGCACCATGAGGAAGCCAAGGCCCTGAGGGAGAGGGGACCCACCCAAGGCTCCACTATTGAGGCTATGACAGAGTTGGGGCGCAAACCTAGGGCTGTTTGTCCTCATTGAGAGAGGAAGCTTTCCACACCTGTTTGGATTCTTGGAGGATGAGACTAGTGGAGGCTGAGGGGAGGCCTCCTAATGGGGTCCCCAAGAGACAAGCGCCCCTGGTCACCTTGCTCCAAAGACTTTTTTGGGGGAGGGTCTCACTCTGTGGCCTAGGCTGGAGTGCAGTGGCATGAACACAGCTCACTGCCGCCTTCACCTCCCAGACTCGAGTGATCCTCCTACTTCAGCCTCCCAAGTAGCTGGGACTACATGTGCCTGCCACCATGCCCAGATAATGTTTGGTATTTTTCATAGAGACAAGGTTTTGCCGTGTTGCCCAGGCTGGTCTTGAACTCATGGGCTCAAGTGATCCTCCTGCCTCAGCCTCCTAAGGAGCTGGGATTATAGGCGTGAGCCACCACACCCAGCCTCCAAAGCCTTTTCTGAACATTTCTGAGACAGAGGATGGAACACCAGTTGCCTCAGGGGGACCCTTCCCAGAGCGGACAGAGTGCACTTTCTCTTGCCAGTTATGTCTCTCCTTCTCTTCCCCACCCTTCCCTGTTCCCAGGACACAGTGACAGGTGGTGGTGTTCTTATCTGCTGGTAATTAATGTTTAACATCTCCTCGGAGTTACTGGTTTAGACCCAACACCTCCATGCAGAGGCACGGGTCTCACTGGACAGCACCCCCAGCCAGTTCACCCCAACATGCAGCCAAGTCAGCCGATGACTGCTACGCCTCTCCCCACCCACTGCAGATAAGTCCACTTCCTGTCGCTTAGGTCACACTTGGCCAAAGGTTAACTGTCTTCACCTTGTTTATTAGTAAAAACAACCTAACAGGTGGGTTATTCTCACCAAGTAAGTGAGACCCGGGAGCTACAGAAGTATTTTATTAAGACCAGACACAGTGACTCACGCCTCTAATCCCAGCACTTTGAGAGGCCAAGGCAGGTGGATCACCTGAGGTCAGGAGTTCGAGACCAGCCTGGCTAACATGATGAAACCCCATCTCTACTAAAAATACAAAATGAGCCAGGTGTGGTGGCA